GAAAGAAAGAAAGAAAAAGAAAGAAAGAAAAATGGAAACAAACAAGAAAAAAAAGAAAAAGAAAGAAAGAAAGAAAGAAAAAAAAGTGAAAAAGAAAGAAAATGAAAAAACAAGAAAAAAAGTAAAGAAAGAAAGAAAATGGAAGCAAAAAAAAAGAAAAAAGAAAGAAAGAAAGAAAATGGAAGCAAACAAGAAAAAGTGTGAAAGAAAGAAAGAAAGAAAGAAAGAAAATGGAAGCAAACAAGAAAAAGTGTGAAAGAAAGAAAGAAAGAAAGAAAAAATGGAAGCAAACAAGAAAAAGTGTGAAAGAAAAAAGAAAGAAAGAAAATGGAAGCAAACAAGAAAAAGTGTGAAAGAAAGAAAGAAAGAAAGAAAATCTTTGGAAACAAACAAGAAAAATGTGAAAGAAAGAAAGAAAGAAAGAAAGAAAGAAAATGGAAGCAAACAAGAAAAAGTGTGAAAGAAAGAAAGAAAGAAAGAAAATGGAAGCAAACAAGAAAAAGTGTGAAAGAAAGAAAGAAAAAAGAAAAAAAAAAAACAAAAAAAGTGAAAGAAAGAAAGAAAGAAAGAAAGAAAAATGGAAGCAAAAAAGAAAAGTGTGAAAGAAAGAAAGAAAGAAAATGAAAAAAAAAGAAAGAAAAATGAAAAGAAAGAAAAAAAAGTGTGAAAAGAAAAGAAAGAAAGAAAAAGAAAGAAAAAATATAAAAACAAAAAAAGAAAGAAAGAAAGAAAGAAAGAAATGGAAAGAAAACAAGAAAAAATAAAGAAAGAAAGAAAGAAAAAAAATAAAAAGGTGAAAGAAAGAAAGAAAGAAAGAAAAAAAAAAGAAAAATGTGGAAAGAAATGTTAAGAAAGAAAAAGGAAAAAAAAAAAAAGAAAGAAAGAAAATGGAAGAAAAGAAAAAAGTGTGAAAGAAAGAAAGAAAGAAAGAAAGAAAGAAACAAAAAAAAAGGAAAAGAAAGAAAGAAAGAAAATGGAAGCAAACAAGAAAAAGTGTGAAAGAAAGAAAGAAAGAAAGAAAAAATGGAAGCAAACAAGAAAAAGTGTGAAAGAAAGAAAGAAAGAAAGAAAAAAGCAAACAAGAAAAAGTGAAAAAAGAAAAAAAAAAAGAAAGTGAAAGAAAGAAAGAAAGAAAGAAATGGAAGAAAATGAAATGTACAAGAAAAGTGTGAAAGAAAGAAAGAAAGAAAAGGAAAAATGGAAGCAAACAAGAAAAAAGTGTGAAAGAAAGAAAGAAAGAAAAAAGAAATGAAATAAAGAAAAAGTGAAAGAAAAGAAAAAGTGTGAAAGAAAGAAAGAAAGAAAGAAAATGGAAGCAAACAAGAAAAAGTGTGAAAGAAAGAAAGAAAGAAAATGGAAGCAAAAAAGGAAGAAAAAGAAAAAAAAAAAAGAAAGAAAGAAAACGGAAGCAAAGAAAGAAAAGTGTGAAAGAAAGAAAAAGAAAGAAAGAAAAGTGTGAAAGAAAGAAAGAAAGAAAGAAAGAAAATGGAAGCAAACAAGAAAAAGTCAAAGAAAAAAGAAAGAAAAGAAAAAAAAAAGAAAAAAAAAAGAAAAGAAAGAAGAAAGAAAGAAAAAAAAAGAAATAAATAAAGAAAAAAAAACATTAAAAAGACGCAAAGAAAAAATCTGAAAGAAAGAAAGCAAATGTCAAAAAAGAAAGAAAAGAAATGTACCAAAATAAGAAAAAAGATTGAAAGAAAAAAAAAAATTGAATTAAATAAAAAAACTTAGAAAAAAATATAAACATAAAAAAAATCCAAATGTTAAAAAAGAAAGAAAGAAAAAAGAAAGGAAGCTTTAAAAAGCAATTTTGAAAGAAAGAAAGATAAAAGTAAATAGAAATAATATTAAAAAATAAAAGTTCTAAATACAAACATAATAACCAGTAAGGACATAAAAAAAAAGTTAAATAAAATCGGTTTTATTATTAATCACACAAAAAACAAAACGCGTCAACTTCTGTCACAGTTTCCATACACTTTCATTTTTAAAATAATATAAAGTTTGATAATGGGGATAACTTGTAAAACACATAATTATATATTATATATATATATATATTTATATATGTATATATTTTTTTTTTTGTCGGACATCTAAGAAACCTACAGAACAGTATCAAGAAATCAAATATAAAATATATATCTTTCGTTGGAACAATATTACCATACGTGAAAACTCTACAGAACAAATGAAATTTAAACAAACAATGAAAAATAAAAGAACGCCTAAAATGGTATGGTTTAACAATATGAAATAAAATCTTACGAAGATATATATACGTAAAATTAAAATAAATTTATATTAAAATAAATTTAAATAATGAATTAATAATAATGAACCAACCTGAGCAATAAGATAGGAAAATAAGTTTTCCTCATATATCAAAAAATAAAAAAGCGATCAAAAAAATTCTCGTGTTTCGCAATCAGTTCACGATTCGGCGATCAGGCAACACCTATTAGAAAATGAGTCATAACTCAAAACGTTTCACATTGGACTCTTTTCACGTTTCACAATGGACTGTTTTCAATTATATGCGTAGGCAGGTCCAAATATCATCTGTCTATTTTGGAAGCCATCTGCCTCAATTTATTTAAACCATTGCTTTCTAAACAAAAGGAGAATTTTTCCCGATCGCAAAATTTATTTTTTGATATATGAGCAACTTATTTTCCTATCTTACTGCTCAGGTTGGTTCATTATTATTAATTCATTATTTACGCATTTATTTTAATCGTAAATTTATTTTAATTTTACGTATATATATCTTCGTAAGATTTTAGACGTGTTCCAACCATACCATTTTGGCGTTCTTCTCATTTTCATTGTTTGTTTAAAATCATTTGCCAACGAAAGACCCTGATGAAGCGTTGGCCGAAAGGTAAAATTTAGGTCCTGCAAAAAAAAAAAAAAAATGGTCATACAAAAAAAATTCATTTTCTTTAAATCGTTATATTTGTTTTGTGGTATCAAAACATTATTCCAATATATATATGTATATATAAGACAGGATGTGTGTGTGTGTGTGTGTGTGTGTGTGTGTGTGTGTGTGTGTGTGTGTGTGTGTGTGAGTGTAACGAATGCACTGCCTCAATTTTCGACGGATTTGCACCAAAATTTACATGCACATGCTCCAAGTTAGCGGCAAGGCCAAGACCCACTTTGTATTTCCCAACTTCCATCGATAGTGGAAATCGATTTTTTCATGCTTCTACGGCACTTTTCATGTAGTTTGCGGCCATTTTCTACTGGCCAGAGTGAGAGCCTATAGCTGGCTGCCACGAATAGGTAGGAAGATTCTACTGGCCAGCGTTAGAGCCAACAGCTGACTGACACGAATGTTAACTAGCATGCTAGCATGCAAAAAAAATAAAATCGATAGCGGCATTCGTCACAAGTGGGAAAGTTTAAATCTGCATGGCACTTTACTCCAATTGGCTCATTCGCTTGCTTAAACTCAACGTTGATTCTGATTCCGCAGAACTGGGTTGGGTGTGAAAAAGTATTTGTTGTTAACATTCTTTTTCATTCGGTTTTCTAGTTACGAGTCCTTTTTAAAGCTGATCGTTTTGTGTTCATTTTGTTTAGTTCTTTTTCGTAACAGATTTAATGTTTAGTATAGAGCTTAGAAAAAATTCGCAGTGTGAAATAGGCAAGAAGTAATGCATGTAGCAACATCAGCACGGCAAAGGGCACTCCTTTAAAGGCAAGGAAGGGCAAAAATATTTTAAGTCAAGTGATAGCGATTGCTGTATGAGTCGTACGATTTTTGAATCAAACACGGGCAACGCCGGGCCATGCTGCTTGTATATATATAAATATCCTACTAAGCAAGGATGTTGAAACAATTTAATCCATTAGTGAATGACATTTTTTCTAAAATTTTAAATCTGCCAGCCCTAAAATTGCTATTAGCCAGCAACGTAGATTAGACAAAGAAAGTCAAGAAAAGAACCGTCCTTTTTAACAGACCGTTTTTGTGGCTACAATTGTCCAAGATTGCCGAGTGTCATTCGTAATATAAAACAAATAAAGTAAACTTACCTGTGTCCACTTTGCTTATATTTTCTCTTTTGCCGTTTGCCATCACTTTAAAACCAGGTCCCGTCGCATATAGTAAGGTGGTGTACGGAAGTCCATCTGATGAGCCGCCCCATTCAGTATTGTCGACGGCCGCTAAAATAACACCAAAATTAAGACAATAAGAAACATCCATCTGAAAGAAAAGTGATTGCTGACCAAGGAAACACTACATACATCAATAAATTCGTAACTTAATGATGATCAATTGATTCATTTCAATTGAAATTGAAGAAAGATAAAATGGCCACCAGCCAGTAACAAACACGCCTGGCACGATTTCGACGTGGACATCGGCGAGATCCTCGAAATAACATCAAGAGGTTCGGTGGATTATCGACTAGCGACAATGTCAAAAATCATCACTAACATTAAGATTACCTCCTCAGTTATCCATCGAAACTGCAATCCACCGAAATAAGAAAAGAAACCAGTCCCCACCGCGGGTCATTTGAAAGATATTTCGTGCACCGGATTGGTTGTTACAAACATCCAATCGGATGCGCGGAATATGTGGTCTTTCTTCCTCTTATTCATTAAAAAGGCCAGAGTGGCTGTTAGCGTTTAATTAAAAGGGGGAATCAGGGGTTGATCTCCCCTGATTGGGTCGATTTGGTGATGGGGAGTATGATGTTGAAAGACCCGAAACTCCCTGATGAACCAAGTCAAAAACATCACTGACGACCCCCTTGGGCGCCTACTTAAAAGCGTATTTGCGAATTGATTTGTTTCTTTTTTTACGGCTTATCAACCCTTTGTGAGTTATTTAAAGCCAAACATATTTTGGAGTGTAAGAATAATTTCTTCTTCTTTTTTATGGCTTATCAACCCTTTAGGAGTTATTTAAAGCCAAAACATATTTTGGATTGGAAGAAAAATTTCTTTTTCTTTTTATGGATTATCAACCCTTTAGGGGTTATTTGAAACCGAAACATGGTGAGCCTCGAGGCTTGTACCAGGGTGAACCATAAAAAAGACCGCGTAGACGCTTTTGAATTACCAGACTGGAAAGTGAAGACTGAGCAGTTCCAGCACAGATATGGCAGCAGAAATCCATTTTCGCCTTGATCTGGCTCTTGTAAAAGCAGAGGATAGAAGGAGGAGTCAGGTAGTTATTGGAGCGGTACAGAGAATAGAACATGTTTCTACTTGTCTGCTAGAGAAAGCAAGAGCAGTCGACTGCATGGATTCTTCTCATTAGAATAAAACATAATCTTCCAAGCATGAATCAGGTATGACGCCTATAATGCAAAATGAAATCGGTGTTTTATATGCCACAAAACATGGCAATTGTACTGGTCTATGAGGAGTTTCTTAGCGTAACATAGATGTGGCACGAGGCCGAATGTACGGGGCACCCAGTGAGGATCGAAATCACTAGTCAGCCATAATTGTTCTAGCGAGACAAGCTTGCTAACCTTTGCACCATGTCAAGATGCCTAATAGTGATTTACTTCGATGTGGCACAAGTCCGAAAGTGTAGATTGAACTCACTACTTAGTCGTGATTGATATACCAAGTTAAACTTGCTAACCATTACACCACATCGAAGTGTCCAAAATGGTTTAGCTTAGATGTGTCACAAAGTCGACAGTATGGGACACCCAGTGAGGATCGAACTCACTATTCAGTCTAATTGTTCCAGTGAGACAAGCTAGCTAACCATTACACAACATCGAGGTTCCTAAAGGATTTTCTAAGCGTAGCATAGATGTGGCACAAGGCCGGAAATGTGGAGCTCTCAACAAGGATCGAACTCACTACTCAGTCGTAATAGATCTAGCGGGACAAGTTGGCTTAACCATTACACCACATTGAGGTACCCAAATGATTTTCTAAACGTAATTAGATGTGGCACAAGGCCGAAAGTGTGGAGCACACCTTGAGAATCGAACTCACTATTCAGCCGTAATTGAGATCGCGAGACAAGCTTGCTAACCATTACACCACAGCGAGGTTCCCAAAAGATTTCCTAAGCGTAGCTTAGATGTGGCACAAGGCCGAAAGTGTGGAGCACCCCGTGAGAATCGAACTCACTATTTAGTCGTAACTGATATAGCGAGACAAGATTACTAACCATTAAGCCACGTCGAGGTGTTCCAATTGTACTGATTCATGTATATGTCTCAAAATCATAATTTTCTTCTACTTGTTAAGCGTATGAGAGTGCAATTTTTAACCTAGAAGCCGGGACAGATTTTGAAGTCACCCAATCGACTCTGCTTAATTTTTAACAAAGAGCTATACATGTTGTTAATAGACTCCGGGTTACAAACTTACCAAATATCGGATTATACGTCGTAGGGTAACCAACCAGGTTGAACGCTATGGAATGGTCCGCTGTCACAATCAGCAATGTGTCTTTAAAGTCGACCAGTTTTGTGGCTGTTTCTATTGCTTCATCAAAAGCCAACGTATCATAGAGAGCTTTCTTGGCCTGGTTGTCATGGTGTGCGTAATCAATAAGGCCTCCTGCAATAGAGAGAAAGAGTAGTTGGATCAATAATGTACATCAGTCTGGTTCATTTTTCCCTCCACGGAACACGACAAAGTTCAACATACAAAATGAGGAGGTAACAATATTATCAATTTTATTATTAACTAGTTTAAAAGCAGCAGAGTTCATGTGGACTTTCAAAACTAGCTTCTGCAGACGCTTAATTAAGCCTCCGATTAAAAACTAAAGGGGATCTCTGGTCCAGCTTGGAAACTAGCAATGATATTTTTGAAAAAAAATAACTTTGAATTCCTCAATTCACTCTATGGAACTGCAAAACCACACTTTAATTCTGATTTAAGTCCAATTCCGGTCAAAAGACCGATTTGGGGTGAAACTCCGATTTGGGCAGAAATTCAGGCCGAAAATTGAGTTCTTCAAATCACAAACTCTCCGGAACTTCACAAGACCTCTCAATTATGATTCCTTGACATTTTGAAGAAATAAAATTGATTTTCTTAATTTAAGATTTGGAGATATTTTAAACTAAATTTAAACATTTTTTTTTAAATTGACAAAGTCTTTGTGTTACTTTAAACTTACTATAATGTAAAATCTTTTAAAATCACTAATTTTTTCGGGTATTTTGAAATTTGAATTTCTAATTTTCTTCTCCTCACGCGGACACAAATCTCACTGCTGGATGTTCAAGGCAGATTTTCAACTCCGGGATCATTCTGAATCCAAAAAGACACACGGGCGGACAGAAAGAATTTGCTATTTATTTATTTAGTTTACACATATTTTAATTTCTATTTAGAGTGTAACCCGGATGTAAGAGACCCGGATATAAGAGAAACCCGGATATAAGAGAGATTTTATCTGGTCCCAAAGTGTTCCCATACTTACCTAAACAAAATAGACCAAACCCGGATATAAGAGAAACCCGGATATAAGAGACTTTTTCTCCGGTCCCGACAACTCTCTTATATCCGGGTTACACTGTACATTACAATTAAATGTAATAATTATTATTACTTACATTATACAATATTACTTAAACACAATAAGAAATTAAAAAATGGAAAGGTTTTTAGAATTTGTAAAAAAGCAGTCCCTAATACACAGAACAGCAGAAAAAAAAACGACAAAACATTCAATATATTAAAACTATCAATATGACTGATTGATTTGTTTTCTACGGTTTATCAACCCTTTGCGGATTACTTAAAACCAGAAAATATTTTTAGATTGAAAGACTATTGCTTGAAGATAATAATGTGAATATAAAGTGGGGGGTCAATTCTATATTATAATAATTATGTAAACTGATCCCTCACTTTGTGACTACATTAGTTTCTATGCATTTATATTCCAGAGAAATCCAAAAGACGTGCCTGTGTAGCTAATCAGTATTTCATTGATTGATTCGTTTTCTACGGCTTATCAACCCTTTGCAGGTTATTTAAAGCCAGAAAATATTTTTAGATTGTTAAAGTTTTTTTAGATAATAATGGTTTAGTGATACAAGTTTTACTAATTAACTAATAGTTGGATGGAGAAGCGGTGGATTCATGCCTTTCCCAAGGATATTTGCACGTAAGTGAATATAATGAACCTGACTGGAATTAGAACCCGGCTCTCCGATTAACAATTTCGAATCATTATCCATTACACCACCCTCACATCCAAGCTAACAGTACCTGGACTATCCAAGCGGTCACCCATCTAGGTACTGACAAAGCTCGACGTTTCTCAACTTTGGCGATCGTACGGGAACCAGTATTTCAATGTGTAAGCCCAGGTTACCCCTAGGCTTGAACATTTCTGCCCAAATCTGAGTTCCGCCCTAAATCAGTCTTTTGACCGGAATTGGACTTAAATCAGAATTAAAGTGTGGTTTTGCAGTTCCATGGAGTGAATTGAGGAATTCAAAGTTATTCAACGTTTTTAGAATAGATTCGTTGACTCTTCTCTCCAAGTTGTGGGTTAATTAATAAATCATTATTATCGTAAAAAATAAAATTGCGTGCAAAATATTTAAATTTCGACATTAAAAAATCCATAGAGAGTTGATATGCTGCTAAAACAGAAACAACAAACAAACAAAAAATAAATTAAATTAACTGAAATAATTAATCGGCCGCATATATTTGAAAATAATAGTTAAATACCTTCGACAAATAAGAAGAATCCTTTCGGGCCTTTTTGAAGGATCTGAATCGCTTTTTTCGTCATTTCAGCTAAGGACGGTTCACCTGTGGGTCCTTGATCCCGGTCCAGATCATACGACATATGGCTCGGGGAAAACAAACCTGAATTTTTTTTTTAAATAAAGAAATATAATCAGACATTCCTGTGTGTGATGAGGGAACAATTAATAAATATTAATATTAAATATCAATATTCAATTTCAAACTTTAACAATATGAGCGATCCATTGGCTACCTCTTAAATTTCTACCTTCTTTCCTTGAAAAGCACCAACAATAGTCGATTTGGATTGGTTTGGTTTGGTTTATTTTGTTTTACGGCATATCAAACTCAATGGGTTATTTAATGCCGACAACATTTTTACTTTGTTTTGTTAAAAATCTGTTTCTGGTAATATTTTTCCTTCAAAATTGTATTGCTGGTAATAATTTTTTTTTCAAATTACTGGTAATAGTTAACTATTTGCCCATAGCTGGGACCCTAACAGGTGCTACCACCCCGAGTCAGGGTGGACCTGGGAACAACAGCAATTAAGAGGTGGTTCCACGCTTCTTAAAACCTCCTTATCAGAGGCCTTGCTACCGGATGTAGTTTATCGTCTTACCCAGGACGAGGATGTAGTTTAACCTCTTACCCAGGAGAACAACAATAGTCGAAAGTACTCAGAAAATAACTCGAGACTCTTCACAAGTTTCGATTTGAAATTTTTTAATCAATATCATGCGGGATGTTTGGTAGGAATATTATGCTGCGGGAATCAACACTTTGGGGTTAATTTGCAATTTAGCACCCGCGCTCAGTTCGCATTAAAATTTTCCAGATTACTTACTTTTATATGTATTTGTACATGCTCCATTCGAATCTGAATTGATAAATTTGATAAAATCTACCGATTTGGAGTTATCGACAGTAAAAGTTCGAATTCATTCGCGTCGCGGGTAGCTATTACTGCCGTTGTTTGCGGATTAGCTATGAGTGGGCTATTCACTTGTCTTGATTATTACGCACGCAATATAGCTGTCTTGCACAGTAATTGAGACAAGTTGAGACAAGTAAGATCAGTAAATAAGGCCGTTAACCGCGCTTAGCTTCCTTAGCTTTCCGCAGCGAATGTATGCAAACAACGCCAGTAATGGTTGCCGCCAACGACGCGAATGAATCCGAAATTTGATAAAATCTACCATTTTGGAGATATCGACAGTAAAAGTTCGGATTCATTCGCGTCGTTGGCGGCAGCCATTACTGGCGTTGTTTGCCTACATTCGCTGCGGAAAGCTAAGCGCGGAAGAATGTAGTTAACGGCTTTGTTTACTGATCTTACTTGTCTCAACTTGTCTCAATTACTGCGCAAGAGAACTATGTTGCGTACGCAATAATCAAGACAAGTGAATATCGCACTCCAATTAACAATGCCGAGCCATTATTGATGACACCACTCTCACATCCAAGCATAGAGAAAATGTTACTCTCAAGCGGTCACTCATCTAGGCTCGACGTTGCTTAACTTAGGTGATAGTACAGGAACCAATGTTTCAATCTGATATGGCAGTAAGCCGTAATGTTTTCGTTGATGTAATTACCCTTGCGACTGAATGAGAGGGGGATACTGAAATTTTAAATCATGTTTTTATCACTTTTTGTCACTAAATATCCCACGTTGTGATAATAGACAATCTGCCAAGAAAGATGTTGTAAACTTGGACGTAAATTTAAATTGGATAATCTAGTGATTAAAGCAATTAACTTTAGTGATCGTATGAAAAAAAAAAAAGGTGTTTCAACGTGATATTGATGTAAGATTGTGTCCACCTACGAAAAATCCTGGTAGGACTTCTAGTTCTAATAAGATCTTTACGTTATAAAGCTAGAACAAATCCGGCGAGACGTTGTATTCTTGCCTTACGCACATGTATTTTCTTTTGTGTATTTGCTCAGTTCACTTTCTATCGTGATACAGGCGGAATGTTTTCAGGATTGGCGATGATTTTATCGTTTGGTGATTTACTGGTAGCGTTTCTCGTTTGGAAGTTTCGTAGGCAATTCGAGAGAGGCATATCGGCAAATATCTAGAAAGAAACAAAGAGATTTTACTTACCTAAAAGATAATCTGTGTGCTTAGGATTAACTTTATCGAACTGTTCTTTATTCCACACATAGCTGTGTTCCACTTTCTTGGATTCTTTGTCTTTCCTCCAGTCCTTAAGCAATGAACATATAACAAAAAAAGAAAAACTGAGCAATAAATAAAATTTGACTGAAATTACTAAATGCGTATATATATATATATATATATATATATATATATAATTATTTATTTAAAAATTAAACATAAATATGTTATAAAATCACTACAAGTGTATCTGCTCCACTCTGTATTGAGCACACTTTTAAAAATAGTAATTGTTGGTTATTGGAATTTATTCCGTATACACCAATCATATACTTTATATATATATATATATATATATATATATTTATTTATTTATTTTTTTAGATTTTTTTAGATTCCCAAAATAATTTCGCTTGAAGATGGAACACAGCTTAGTACTTTAATTCAATTTAATTCAAATAATTATATTGAAGTTTTCGGCTCTTGTTTTAAAACATGAGAACTCTTATGTAGCGTGTTGGAATCATATTTTTAGATATATAATTATGTATATATATATATATATATATATATATATATATATATATATATTGAAATTGAAATCAAATTTACCTCATCAGAATTGGATTTCTATTTTATGTAACTCATACTATTGGGATTCACTTGGATCACATACCAACGGATTATTACCTGTATATATAGATATATATAATTATATATATATATATATATATATATATATATATATATATATATATATATATATATATGGGTAAAAGCGTTCAATATCAAAGATAGAGCGTATGTAAATGCAAATATAAACGTGGACACAGAGTTCAACACGGAATGGTGACAGTCTACTTCATTCTTGAACATAATCATCATGGCCTGAACATGCGTTCAAGCATGAAACAAACTGTCGCCGCTTGGCGTTCACCTCAGTGAAATGGATAAATTGTCACCATTTTATATTTGTTTGCTCGTTGGTTGTATTTTGCTTTTGTCGACTGCACCGTCTAGTAGGGTCAGTTGGGCACCGTCTGTGAGAAAAAAAGCACCATGATGCAATTCACTCCGTCAGAGTTTTTGGGTGTCAATCTGAGGAGAGTTCAGGGGATTCGGTATGAGTTGGATGAGTTTGATGGTGATTACGAAGGTACGGCAGCTTGAAAAGCTCACTCTGATATAAAGAAAAGAACTCCCGAATTTGTTGGTGTGGGCCTGAAACTCAACACGGATGTCTACATCAAGTATCTTGAGGGGGTAGCGTTGCCCTAGTTCAAGATGATATCTCTGGCAACAGGACTCTGCACCATGTCACACAAGCAAAAGAATCTAGTCATGGTTGTCAGGCAATTTCTGCGACAACATCACCCTTCTGGACACCTAATTCTCCAGACTGCAAGCCCTTTGATTACTGTGTGGGCACCCCACGCAGTAATCAAAGGTCTTGAGTGAGACACCAACAAAACTCCTTGTAACACCAAAGATGAAATACAGGCATACAGGCAGAGATTATGGCAGCATTCAACAACTTAAAGAATTACAAGAGATTTCGAAGTCGTCTGGAAGCCGGGGTTGAAGCCAGCAGCGATTTTATTGAATAAATTTACTCTTTAGTATTTCAAAATATTTTTTGTAATTTTGGTACATATATCTGTTAAAATGAGATGTCAGTGTTATTTTCATTTTTGTGTAATTTTGATAATTTATCCATCGCACCTATATATATATATATATATATATATATATATATATATATATATATATATATTTGAATAAAAGAAAAGACCACGTTAAGATTCCATGTAATAAGCTATTTCACCATAACCCCTTTAACAGGGTTCTGGATCATCAGACTTTACTTCAAAAGCTGAAATGAAAAATGAAAAGAAATTCACACGTTTTTGACGGACCTCATCAAGTATAAGATTGAGGGAGTGAGGTGGGAGAGAGGATATGAGTGTGTCATATGTATCATTTCAATTTCCTATTTTTAACCCCAGTGTGTGGGCTAGATATTGCTCAAATTTAACGCGTCTCGTCTCTAGATATAGATGGCTAAGGGGTGAATGAGAAGACCGACATTAAAGGAAGAAGCTACAACAACCCCAATCAATTACACGACAGGTTTCATTCAAATTCTTAGACGCTGTTAATTCGCGTTACTTTAACGTGCATATTTGGGAGGTTAAGGTTTGATAAATATCTAAATGTTTAAACAATCTACGAAGAAATTAATTTGAAATTCGGTGGAGTTTTGGGTATTTTCTATGAAACAGTCGATTGGAAAAATTTATAGACAGTACATTGAAAGAGTAATCCATTTTATATTTAGTAATCTTTTTTATTCTACTAAAACTTTTATTTTATCGCTTGTTAGGTTGACATCTATTCGTTTGATTTTTGTTCATTAAGTAAACTCGTGATTGGGATTATGGGAATAACCGTTGATAATTGGGTACATAAAAACAATCACGAGTTTACTTAATGAACAAAAATCAAAAACAATCACGAGTTTACTTAATGTCGTTCTTCTCATTCACCCCTTAGCCATCTATATCTAGAGACGAGACGCGTTAAATTTGAGCAACATCTAGCCGACACACTGGGGTTAAAAATAGGAAATTGAAATGATACATATGACACACTCATATCCTCTCTCCCGCCTCACTTCCTCACTTCGTTAATTTTACGTATACTTTATGAGGTCCGTCAAAAACGTGTGAATTTCTTTTCATTTTTTCATTTCAGCTTTTGGAAGTAAAGTCTGATGATCCAGAACCCTGTAAAAGGGGTTATGGTGAAATAGCTTATTACATGGAATCTTAACGTGGTCTGTCTTTTATTCAAACATATCTGCTCTGAATTTTACATTGAGCTCTCTGGATATCATCCTCCTCAGGTCTATCCATACGGATTACCTATGTTTGCATAAACTATATATATATATATATATATATATATATATATATATATGTATGTGTGTGTGTGTGTGTGTGTGTGTGTGTGTGTGTGTGTGTGTGTGTGTGTGAAAATATATAGAAAATAGGAAGGAACTGGTTAGGTAAATAATCCAAAGTCCCTTAGTATTTTAGTTATTATTTTTTTTAAAATAGTGCTCGATACAAAAGTAAAGCATAAATATAATTATTTATTTAAAAATATGATTCCAAATCGCTACATAAGAGGTCTCATGTTTCAAAACAAGAACCGAAAACTTCAATATAATCCTTTAAATTAAATTGAGTTGAAAGTAAAATGGGCTCCGTTCCATCTTCAAGCGAAAATTTTGTTGGAATAACATATATCTGAAATTTACTTGTTTTAAAATTGAAATCAAAATCCCCATGGTAACAGCTATGGTGAATTGTCTAAATTGGGTAGGTGAGTGTAGGGTGTTTATAATAAGTAGCGGTATAGAGATACTTTCAAGGTGTCAAGTCGGAGAAAGGTGGGGGTGTCAAAAATGAAACGGAAGATGTATTGGCCATCGTCTAGTTTTCTTGTCTATGGAGATTTATTTATTTATTTTATTTTATTTTATTATGAAAGGGAATTGTGCATATAAAAGAAAAAAAAAGAAAAAAAAGAAAAACTTTCGTAACGTTTGTTTTTTGACGACTTCATAAAGGGTTATCTTATATGTAAGGTATTTAAACTACTAATTTAGGCTATGGATTATGAAGTGTGTTATGTTGTATGCATGTTTGTTAGTTAATTATTCCTACTATGAATCTGATGATTGGGCTATTTGTTAAACAAGTTATATAAATTTTTTTATCTAATAATTCAAGCCAAAAATCTGATGATTCCTACAAAAAACCGTTAACTCGTGTCTATTATTTAATAGATTATTATTATTTAGAAGTTTAATAATGTGCAATTTTTCATGGAGGCACAAAGGGCATGGGTCATCCCAAGCTTTACATATTATTGACAAGGCTAGAATATGTAAAGCTTGGGATGACCACAATCCTGATCTAAAAAATGTATAGTCTGAATATGACTAGTGAGAAAGGGAAGGTACGGCCTTGTCTTATGGCGCTTTCTATTTTTGTATATTTACTGAAATCCTATTGTTTGTCAAATTTTGTGATAAAACTTTCTGTTCGTGGTTAAAACAGATTAAATGCCTGCCATAAAAACACCACCCTACCACCCGCAATCGAAGGAAAGTATGGTGCAGACGGGTAAAATTGTGTCGAAGATATTTTCCCCGTCCAGGGAGACCGTGGATAGCTACCTTTTTTTAAGCAATTCACCCCGAAGCAAAGCGGGAGTGGCACTAGTACGCAAGGGGCGACAGAGAGTGTAAGTAAAGGAAAAGACTGGGTTTGGGGTGGGAGTTGGGGAAAGGATAAAAAGAAGAATGGAGGCGGATAAAAAGAAGAACGCGGATCAAAGCAACAGAAGATGTCGATTGACATTACATTTAAATTTTTAAAGATTATAGTTAGTGAAGCAAGTAAGAGGAAAGGAGTTCCACTGTCGGGAAGTGCGAGAGAATAAGCTGTTGGAGTAGAAAAGACACTTACATTTAACTGTTTCGACAGTAAAAGAGTGGGACTGAGATGCCAAACTTGTAGTACGTTTAAATTCATGCAGTCGGTGCACCAGTGAAAATAGCTCGTCAGAGCAGATGCCGTGAAAATATTTATAGAAAAGACAGAGGGAAGCCACATTACGTCGGCGAGAAAGTGACTGTCGAGCCCCCAAATCAGGACCGATCACACTGCATATCCGTCTTTGGACTTTGTCGAAAATCTCAAGATACACAGCGGGGGCACCAGATGCAGATAGAATCCAAAATCCCTCTGCATTGATGGGAAGACAAATTAGATCCCTTATAACAATGTCCTATTCAACAAAAGGAAAAATGGGGTACTAAAAAGGCAGAGAAACCCGAAAGAGCCAAATTTATTAACTTTGGTGATCGTATGAAAAAAAAAAGGTATTTCAACGTGATATGGAAAGGGTCATAATACATCTATAATAACAACACCGAGACAGAATTGATTAAATAAGACTTAGAATTGACGACGAAGAAGCCGAGATGGAAGAAACAAACCGGAAATGGAGGAACGGATGAGTACCACTGGAACGGATGAGTACCTCTGATGGCGAAAGAGAACAAAGTAGGAAGTAAATTACAGAGGATAGTATGCACTAATGCAACTTGTAGTTGTAAGATCAAAATGCAGAAAAGTTCAAACCTAGATCCCATATATATATATATATATATATATATATATATAAGTGAACATAAGTCAACACTTATAGGCGACAGTCTGTTTCATGCTAGATGCAATCGTCAGGCCACGACGATTGCATCTAGCATGAAATAGACTGTCGCCCTAAGTGTTGACTTCATGTTCACTTTTATATTTACACACCTCTATCTCTGATATTGAGCACTTTTTATCCCATAAATATAGCACATCTTAAGACTATATTTCTTCATATATATATATATATATATATATATATATATATATATATATATATATATATATATGACTTCGTACTATAGTTAGAAGTCCCAAAACAACGAAGGGCATAAAACCTCTTCGTTTCCGGAAGGTATAGTGAAATATGCGAAATGGACTTATCCTATTTTGCATAAAGTCAAACGATTATAAATAAGTCAGTCGACAAAACGGAAGATACTTCTACGTCACAGACTGGGGTACTACATTACTTACACTTTATCTTGTGAGGAAAACTGAGTGCCTCTGCAATATCGTTTTTGCAAATAAGAGTTTGTTTTTTTTAATTAAATACGCATTTCTGAAAACGTTTACTCGTGTATAATACAACCCCACTTTTTGTATTTAATTTCCGTTTAAAGAAAGTACACGTTTTCCATTAAAAATTTCTCGCGTTATACACAAGAAAATACATTAATTACTTTGCGAACACACTAATAAAAAAGATGATAAATTAATTCTAGAGCAGTTTCGTACCATTCAAACTTTGTTCACTCTTCGGTGATGGAGTCACAATTCATAACCGTGAAATACGTAATTACTTTCCACCACACCAGAAGACACTTTGAAGATTAAACTATGAGGCTATAAACCAGGAGTTCCCAACCATTTTGGTGCCATCGTCCACTCTTACATGGAAAGATTTATCAACCGTCCACTTGTATAGTAAGTTTTGCAATGTCAATCGCTATCTACTGTCCTCTTGATTATTATGCTTTTTCGCTTCTTAGTAATGATTCTGTTTTCCTGTACACATACACACACACATATATATATATATATATATATATAATATATATATATAGTCGACTCTCTCCCGTCGATTTCGACGTATGAGGGTCAAGCAGATCAGTTTCCAGGAAACCGACAGCCCGACAACGACACATGAGATTTGATTATAGTGGTGAAGGCCTCGTGCAGGACCATTCCCACTTTTTGAAGAGACCTGGTGCACCGAATGCCACAAGGTTCCCAAACGACCCTCCGCAGGTTTTGAATTCAGAGTTGTCCTTCTCCTGGACCAGTTGCCATCCAAGGCTATAGAACCCAGTCTGTCCTGCTATTTTACCCATAAAGAGGGAGAAGAAGAGGATTCATACCCTTCCCAGCACGTAAGTAAATGTAATGGATTCGACTGGAAATCGAACTCGGTTTCAGGATTCCTCAATCCAAGCCGCTATCCATTATTCCATCGTGCTATATATATATATATATATATATATATATATATATATATATATATATATATATATATATATATATATATATATATATATATATATATAGATAGATAGCGGCTAGGATTGAGGAATCATATATATATATATATATATATATATATATATATATATATATATATATATATATATAGGCATCAGATCATTATTCAAACATTGTTAAATATAACAGACAACGAATATCTATTATGTTTGATCAGGAGCCGTTCTAGACTCCGTATATTTGATTTAACGTCGAGAGAAATTAAAGACAAAAACTGTACAACAGTTGGATATTTTTTATTATGCAGTTATTTTTTTTAGTCAAGATTAACGTTGCAAATGCTGACTAAAACTATTTTTGTTCATAATTATAAAATCAAAATCTATATATACTATTAGCAAATAATAAAAATTCAACGAATTATTTTGTTGCGTTTGCTCTTACCTTACCTGATTTATCTCTGGAAAAAATGTTATTTCGTCTGAAGAACTATTTGACACTTCTTAAAACTAGTAAATACCAAAATATCCGTTGTTTGCAAGGATATTTATATCTTATCTAGGAATGTGACCCAGTTATCCCCATTTAGTGTACTGTTTTTTTTTATTTATTTATAAAAGCTCTTTGCCTGTCTCCTTTGAATATTTTTTCGGCTAGAATATGTTGAAATAACTTTTTAATACTTAAAAATCTTATATCGCCCACCAATATTTCCAATCACCGACAATTTTCTGTTCAGTTGCTTATCACCCACCCAACAGTTGAAATCGCCCACTGGTGGGTGATATCGCCCAGGCTGGGAAACACTGTCATACACGTATATGAATAAAAGATTTTCCCAAAAGAAAATATGTTTCAAATAACATCATATATCCGTCTTACCGCGATCAAATCCCGTTTGTCCAGTCGTCCATTTTCTACATCTTCTTTGCCAGTTTCCGGATCCTTCATATCTACTGGAATAAAACTTCGACGTCCACCACCCATCAGAACCTTTTGGGAGAAGAGAAAGCGAAAATTATTTACCAATAAAGTGTAGGGATTCAAATATCAAATCCATCTAAATGTGCAGGATTCGGTTACAAGATTGGCTTTCAAATTCGTCAGTTGACAACGAAATTAAGTTTTATCTTACAGAGACAGTAAATGAACAAGATGGCTATATTTAAAAAAAAAATAACTTTAAATATAAAATATTAAACAACGGAGGAATATCTAATATTTTCCTGTGTGTGCAACATTGTACAGTGTAACCCGGATATAAGAGAAACTCGGATATAAGAGAGATTTTCTCTGGTCCCAAATTAGAGCCTGTGTTAATGTATATAAATCAGACCAAACCCGGATATAAGAGAAACCCGGATATAAGAGACTTCTTCTCCGGTTCCGACAACTCTCTTATATCCGGGTTACACTGTACAGTGTAACCCGGATATAAGAGACCCGGATATAAGAGAGATTTTCTCTGGTCCCAAATTAGAGCCTGTGTTAATGTATATAAATTAGACTAAACCCGGATATAAGAGAAACCCGGATATAAGAGACTTCTTCTCCGGTCCCGACAACTCTCTTATATCCGGGTTACACTGTACAGTGTAACCCGGATATAAGAGACCCGGATATAAGAGAAACTCGGATATAAGAGAGATTTTCTCTGGTTCCAAATTAGAGCCTGTGTTAATGTATATAAATTAGACCAAACCCGGATATAAGAGAAACCCGGATATAAGAGACTTCTTCTTCGGTCCCGACAACTCTCTTATATCCGGGTAACACTGTATGATAACCTTTAAGACAAAGCTAGCAGTGCTTCCCATAAATAGGTAATTTAAACTTTGATCTGTCAGGTACATTTTGGCACAAAAATGGTTATACCGATGGGTTAAAAAGGGACCCAGGTTCGATTTCTATTTGAAGCACTATCTTTCTTTAAGGCTTCTCATTTTAGGATGATTGATATAAATTTCCCGATTTGGATCGTTAGTGAGTCGTAGTGAAGGAGGTTGCGCGTCTCGAGGAACTTGAATGCAATGTCGTAGGGAGCTCCGTCTCCTGGCAGGGTCACCAAGGATTCAGGGAAGGGACCACACTAAGCACGATCCGACGCCCGGTCAAGGTGACATTTCTAGGTACGGGAAATAGTCGGTAGGCTGATGCAAGCTGTCAACTTGAACCAGCCTGTCACGCCTAGTTTTACCGCAGCGGATGGTGTCAGCTGAAATGCGTGTGCCATGGAGTGGGGACCCATGGACCACTTCAAACAATTCGCAGCCAAGGTTTTCATGCTCAAAGACTTTTCTTTTTCTCAAGTCCTCTTTTCCAAACTTCTCTTCTAGGGAAGCTGCAGGAGAAAAAAAACAATTGCAGAAGTGCAGTCCACGAAAAATCAACTTCCTTCTAAAACACCAGAAAACAAATAGAAAAAACGAGGAGAGCCCAAAGAAAGGCTAGAACTCTCCTTCCCCTGAACCCTCCTACCGTACATTGTGGTGGCAATTTTAGATCCAACATAGGACTCATTTCACACAGAAGAGTAGGCGTACAAAACAAAGTCTCGAACACTGGCGGGCTTTGAAACACGGGTTCAGGAAGTTCACAATGATATCGCATACAACGTTCTTCAGAAGGTTGTTCATTCCATCCTTGGGCGGCTGAGGAAACTGATTGACGCCATTTTACGTTTAAATATGAATATTTACTTACATTTTCCCATGTAGTAATATATATATATATATATTTATTTGAATACGATTTAAAGAATAATATTTGGAATATGGAATTTTTTATTACCAATTTTTAATGCCTACTTATTTTACTCACCTTTATATATATATATATATATATATATATATATATGTATGTATATATATATATATATATATATACAGGAGTAATAAAGAATATATATATATATATATTAAATAAATTTATAATAGGAATATGGATTTTTATTAATAAAGAACAAGTAACAGATTTAATCTGACATGCCTATTAAAGCTTCATCAGAGATAGAAATTAAAAAACGATAAAAAGCAAAGAGACGCAGATATGGTATATTGTGTTTTGGTTATATATATATAAATTTATATAAATATAAATATATATATAAAACATTAAAGAAAGTTTTATGTTTAACGTTTTTTTAAATTTTTAGATTGGTTTGACAAGTATTTAATGCAAATGTATAGCTCTGTTTTTATAGATAAACAGTAATAAATAAAAAAATGGTGACATTTATTTTTTAAACCTGTCTGAATGTCCGAGAAAATATGTTTTCATATTATTTTCTCTTATTTACGGAACCGTTGAAATCATAACGTTGAAGACGTTTGCCTTAATCAGTCTCTTTTGTGTTCCTGAATGTGGGTTTCCATGTCTCCCCAACGTACATGTTATTGACAAGATTTGTGTATATATATATATATATATATATATATATATATATATATATATTACAGTGTTTATATATAAGACCTCTGGTCCCAAATTAGAGCCTGTGTTAATGTATATAAAATAGACCAAACCTGATATAAGAGAGACTTTAACCGGTCCCAACAACTCCCTTATATCCAGGTTACACTATATATATATATATATATATATATATATATAAAGAAAGAACAGTAAGATATATAATCCAGTGTTCTTATAGATATTTTTATTTTTACAAAATAGTGCTCAATGTAAATTTACAGAGCATTAATATTATAAATTAATTAATTTAAAATATGTTTTTTCCGCTACACAGTTCTAACCATATATATGTGATATATATATATTGAAAAAAAAAATATATATATATATATATATATATATATATATATATATATATATATATGTGTGTATGTGAAATTCCCAAAAAACAAAAAAATCCCAAGTATGTGATTATGTTGTTTTAATGTTTAATGTCAACGTCAGACGTTTAAACATTAAAACAGCATAATTGTATATTAGGATTTTTGTTTGTTTTTTCAGTATATTTTTCTTCATACTGTCGGATCTATATCCATATATTTGCTTATATATATATATATATATATATATATATATATATATATATATATATGATTAAAGACAAAAGAAAATTTATTCATATTGTCCTCACACACACATATATATATATATATATATATATATATATATATATGTGTGTGTGTGTGTGTGTGTGTGTGTGCGTACGCACGCGCGTGCTGTGTACTTTCAGGAGTATCCAAAAGGTAAAATAAAGGTTTAATTTTAAAAAAAAGTTTGTCTCGTTTCCTGAGAGACGTGAGTTCATTCTAATGGTTCAGCAGTACAAGAAACAGAGCAACAACCTCAGGACAAAAAAAGGATGACAAAAGGTCTTGAAAAGAAGTTTGAAAGTGAGAAAAGAAATGTAACTCCTCGACTGGCCATAGCGAAATTCGCAGAAAGTAACCAGAATCATGGCGAAACTGACATCGAAACTTTGCGATAAAATCCGACCAAGATGAGGACTTAAGTCTGTAAGAATCTGAAAGTATCTTTGTTCAAAATTATGTAATCGCTTTAGACAAAATTCCCAAAAGAACTCACGCGAATGTAGTCATTTTCATCAACTAACTGCCGGGTGATATCCGCACAATTTCCAGTTACGTTGACCATATGATTGTCTGATTCCCATTCGCGGTCGGCACTGTGCGCGTAAGCCGCGGCCGGAGAGGCGTGAGTAATCCGTGTATTAGTAACCACACCAGTCAGTTTACCTGTCGAAATAAGAACAAAAATAAGAAATGAAAATAAAAAAACCAATAAAGAATGAATCAAACAGTAAAACTACGGCACAACACAACACCTAAATTCTTCTTTTCTTCTGTGCCGCCACGGTCACCAATTGTCCTTCAAAACCTTAACGACCGTGGCTCTCCACACAATTCCCTGCTCCTTGTAGCCCTTAATAAATTTTGTCTTTTTGTTATCTCTCCTAACCCCTATTCTACCAAACATTTACACAAGCTTCTTCCGGACGTTGGCGATCGTAGCTCTCCACAATTTCCTGTTCGTTGTGGCTCTTAATAATATTTATCTATCCTAAAAGCCGTCCTGCCAACCATTTACACATGCTTGTTCGTCTTCTATGTGCCATGTCCCTTCAGGACGTTGGCGAGCATGGCTCTCCACAATTTCCTGTCCTCTGTAGCTTTTAATAAACTTTCTTTTTTGTTATCTCTCCTAAGCTCTGTTCTGTCATCCATTTAATCAAGCTTGTTCTTGTATGTTCCGGGTCCCGTCAGGTCGTTGGCGATTGTGGCTCTCCACAATTTCCTGTCCTTTTTAGCTCTTCATAAATTTTGTCTTTTAGTTATTTCTTCTAAGCTCTATTCTGACAACCATTTACGCAAGACCTCTTTGTCTATGTGTCATGCCCCTTCTGGGCGTTGGCGATTATGGCTCTCCACAATTTTCTATCGTTTGTATCAGTAATTTTTTTTTTGTGTTATCACTTCTAAACTCTGTTTCATTTTATCAAGCTTGTTCTTCTATGTACCGTGTCCATTGAGGATGTTGGCAGTTATGGCTCTCCACAATTTCCTGTTCTTTGTTGCTCTTAATAAACTTTCTTTTTTGTTATCTCTACTAAATCCTGTTCTGCCAACAATTTACACAAGCTTCTTCTTCTTCTTCTTCTATGTGCCGTGTCCCTTCAGGACGTTGACTATCATGGCTCTCCACAAAGTCATGTCCTTTGTAGCTCTTAATAAATTTTGTCTTTTTGTTATCTTTTGTCTAAATGTTTTTCTGCCAACCATTTATACAAGCATGTTCTTCTTCTATGTACCGGGTCCATTGAGGAGGTTGACAATCATGGCTCTCCACATTTTCCTGTTCTTTGTAGCTCCTAATAAACTTTCTTTATCTCTCTTGCTGTTATCACACCTAAAACCTGTTCTGCCAACAATTTACACAAGCTTCCTCTTTTTCTTCTTCTTCTTCTTCTTCTTCTTCTTCTTTGTACCATGTCCATTGAGGATATTGACAATCATGGCTCTCCAGAATTTCCTGATCTTTGTAGCTCTTAATAAACTTTCTTTTTTGTTATCTCTACTAAATCCTGTTCTGCCAACAGTTTACACAAGCTCATTCTTCTTCTTCTTCTTCTTCTTCTTCTTCTATGTGCCGTGTCCCTTCAGGACGTTGACTATCATGGCTTTCCACAAAGTCATGTCCTTTGTAGCTCTTAATAAATTTTGTTTTTTGTTATCTCTCCTAAACTCTGTTCTGTCATCCATTTATTCAAACTTGTTCTTCTATGTGCCGTGTCCCTTCAGGGTGTTGACGACCATGGGTCTCTCCGAATTCCTTTTTCTTTTTGACTCTTAATAAATTTCGTCTTTTTACTGACTCTCCCAAACCCTACTCAGCCATCCATTCACTCAAACTTTGCTCCTTTTGCCTTCAATCTGTCCTGTGAGTAGAGTATCAAATTTTCCAAACCTTCTTTCCTCATTATGTGCTTCAAAATACAAGGAGGGGTGATATTACATGACATTAAGAATCAAAGCTATTACAATCGTAAAAGTCTAGACGACTCGCTAGTGTTAAAATGGCGTAATTGTCGGAACACATTGGGACTAAATTCGCTACAACCGACTTTAGTATCATTAAACCTTAACGCTGTATGACACAAGGCCATCATTATTTGGCGCCCAATCGCTTGAGTACGTTCGCCAAAACACCATAATTGTTGGTCACCCAGTGACAGTAATAATACATCATCATCTGCTGGGACATATAAAATTGAATTCTCTATAGTAGTAATAGTCTTCGCGAGTAGATTTTAGCATACTTTACTTTATTACGATACAAGGTCATCATTTGTGGGCACCGTGCTAGGATCAAACTCAATACAGCAACAATAACCTACGAGACTAGCTTCCGAAAACCTTAACCTAGTACGACACAAGGCCATCCGTTGTGGGCACCGTGCTAGGATAAAACTCACTCCAGCAGTACTAGCCTGCGATACTAGCTTGCTCATACATTAAGACACAAGATCATCATTTTCGGGCACCAAGTTAACTTTAAATTATCTACAGTAATAATAGTTTGTAAGATTAGCTTCCTCACACATTAGCTTAGTGCGAGAAAAAGGTCATCATTTGTGGGCACCGAGATAGGATTGAATTCTGTACAGTCGTAATAGCCTGCGAGGCTAGCTTCCTCCCAAATTAGCTTAATACAACACAAGTTCACCATTTCTGGGCAACGAGATAAGATCGAATTCTCTACAATGTTAATAGCCTGCGAGGCTAGATTTCTCCCAAATTAGTTTAGTGTGACACTAGGCCATTATTTGTGGGCAACGAGGTAGGTTCGAATTCTCTACCGTGGTAATAGTCTGCGGGACTCACTTCCTCACATCTTGGCTGGGTACGACAGAATGTCATCATTTGTAGTGATAAGAATGTGAGACTCAATTTTTCATGCGAACAATAATTTTTTGTTCACTTCTGGACCCCGTCAAATTCAGGTCATCTTTGGAGGGTATGTGGTTTTCGTGACCTTGAACTATCGATCCCCCGAAGATGCAAGGGACACACCCTTCCTCTTCGCGCGTCAGTTATTCCTATTAGTTAAGTTCCAATCATCCGGTTTTTAGTTCTGCTTGGTTAACTTCCTGTTTTTTTTTATATCTTTTGAGGCCCACTACTGCGACTTGGTGGCTATGAGGTCATACTACCGAGGCACCTAGTTCTTTTTATGTTCTGATGCGACACCTAATAGAAAGATTACCACTCATAGTGAACCCAGTATATGGTGGCATTTCATGGCGTGAATCACACACTACAATACGTAAAGATTTTTTGCAAATGGACGATAGAACAGGCATTGCTTAGAGTTACGAAGGATAGGAAGTTATGAAAAGCCAAGAATGCGCACGTCTTAAAGGGACATGGCTTTATAACAGAAGTGTGCAAGTATGTTGTTCGAGACAATTTTTCCCTTCAGAATCTATCTTACATATCTATAAGTCTACCATTCGTTCATGCTTAGAATATTGCTGTCACATATGGGCCGGCGCCCCTACTATTTACCTGGAACTCCTTGATAAAATCACAAGAAAATTAGCAATATTATTGGTCCTGATCTGGCGGCTCGGCTTCAGTCACTTCCCCACCGTCGTAAGATTGCCGCTTTGTGTCTTTTCTATAAATGGTAATCGTTCGGATGATTCTTCGCTATGGTACCTAGACTTTCTGAATTTAAGCGCAGTACCAAACTGACGCCGAGATTTCATCTATTTACATTTGAGCTGGCTAGATGTAACTGTAAATTCTATGGTAACAGTTTCTTTTCTCACACTTCTCGCTTGTGTAACTGGCTCCTGGCTCCATGCTTTCCACCCAACTTTAATCTGCAAAAGTTTAAATGCAATTTCAATCGCTATCTACATCCCCCTTTTTCTCTTTCCGCTCATTATTAATGTTTCTGTTCCTAATTCTTCCACACCTGTAACCTCTTGTATCTTAGGGGCTTTACTGCCTTGCATAGGGTGATACCGATTTAAAGAAAGTGTTCAAAATGCTTAAGAATTATGAGCGTTTTATTCTTTTCAGTTTAACAATAATGTTTTTTTTTCTTCTTTCTTTTAATTGAATGCCACAAGATTGCCAACTTTGTCATAACTTTGTATCAAGTTGCCAGGCAAGTGAAAAAAAAAGGCCACTTCATCGGTCTGTTGACATAACCCCAGCCAGAATTAAGGACGGAGTTTTCTCGTTGCCGACAAAAAAATATACATTCGCTTAAGGCGACGCGTCTAAAGGCCAATGAGTATTTTTCAGGCAGATAAGAAATTCAAAGCCAGGATTAATGGCCGTTAATTTTAGTAAACAGCAAATCGCAACTGATAAGCGGTTTCCTTTGGATGAATGGACAATAAGGTTAAGAGCATCGGGTTCGTAAAGGAGAAACATTTTGATTAATAATTGGGCTAATAAATAGGGTTTAAGCAGACAAAATATTTTCGTTGATATTCAACTAGTTTACCCCTGCCGTCAAAATAATGACTTACCCCGGAACTTAGATTGGAAAATGCTGACTGCATCTCTTGCAGATGCGTTTAAAAAAAAAAAAAAAGAAACCTTGAAAAAGAAGGATCGCCTTTCGGATGAATACTTGAAGATGCGATCAAGATCTACCTTATCGATTCTCATGTAAACCAAATCTACTTCTACCTAATTAATTGGTTTTTGCCCTATAAAATTTGACAATATTTTTTTTTATCATTTCACCCCAAGCAAGCTAATAAAGCCACTGAGATGCAGAGGGTCACAGAGTGTGAAATAATATGAGAAAAAAATTATTAAGGCGAGAAAACAATAAATGACTATTTTAACATTCGTCCATGCAATGAATAACGCTACATATGGTCTGGTGTCGCTTCCCTATGGGGTGCGATGGATAAATTGTCATCTAAATTAGGCAAAAATGAAAATAACACTGACATCTCATTTTAACAGATATATTTACCGAAATTACACAAAAATATCTTCAAATACTAAAGAGTAAATTCATTCAATAAAATCACCATTGGCTTCAACCACAGCCTCTAGAAAACTTCGGAATCCCCTGCAACTCTTCTCAATGCTCTCTTTGTTTAAGTTGGTGAGTGCTGCCATAATCCTTGCCTTCTGTTCATTTTTGGTGTTACAAGGAATTTTGTTGGTTTCTCGTTCAACCGTACCCCACACATAATAATCAAGGGGCTTGCAGTCTGGTGAGTTAGATTGCCAGATGTAAGGGACGATGTGGTCGCAGAAATTGTCTGACTGGGTTCTCCTGCTTGCGGGCATGGTGTTGTTCCTGTTGCCAGGCATAAGATCTTCCATCACCCACCCTCTTGATCCAGAGCAGCACTACCTCCTCAAGGCACTTGATGTAGGCCTCCGTTTTGAGTCTGGGGCCCTCACCAACTAATTCGGGGGTTCTTTTCTTATTAGAGCGATCAGAGTTTTCCGAGCTGCCGTACCATCGTAATCACCATTAGACTCATCCAACTCTTTTCAAATTCTCTGTACTATCCTCAGATTGACACCCAAACACCCTGAAAAGTTCTTATTGGTATGAAATCAAAGCAGTACAGAATACTGTTTCCAAATTTCTGGCAGAGTGAATTGCGTCATGGTGCTCTTTTTCTTACAGACGGTGCCCAACAGACCCTACTGTACTGTGCAGTCGACAAAATCAAAAACAACCAAATCGCATGCGCAAAATTAAAAATATAACATGGGGATAATTTACCCATCGCACAATGTGTATCTAGAGTTCCTTCATAAATTCCAAAGAAGAATCTGCAATGTCATCTGGCATCTCGGCTTCAGTCACTGATTAAGAAATTGCCTTAATGAATATATAATTTACCTGCATCATGGGACATTTTCAGAATCGAGTCAACTCTGCTACGGCGTTGTTCCTCCTCAGAGGCACAAACCGAATTCTTAGTTGTGCTGTCGAAACCCAGAACTCCAAAATTGGTCTTTACACCACAAAGGTAAGCTGTTCCGGTCGATGCTGAATCCGACACTTGCCGATCAGTGGAGTATGTCTGGGAAGAAGAGATAGAAAAAACAGGAGAATGAACGAGTGATAATATGGGGGGGGGTGAAAGAGATAATAAACACAAATGGGGAAAAGAAAGATACAAGAGAGAGAGAAAGAAAGAGAGAGAGAAAGAGAGAAAAGATAGAGCAAGAGAGAGAAAGAGAGAAAGATAGAGAGAAAGACAAAGAGAAGAGAGAGAAAGAAAGAGAGAGAAAGAGAGAAAGAAAGAAGAGAAAAAAAGAGAAAGAAAAAGAGAGAGAGAGAAAGAGAGAAAGATAGAGAAAGAGAGAGAGAGAAAGAGAGAGAAAGACAAAGAGAAAGAGAGAAAGAAAGAGAAAGAGAGAAAGATAGAGAAAGAGAGAGAGAGAAAGAGAGAGAAAGACAAAGAGAAAGAGAGAAAGAAAGAGAGAGAGAGAAAGAGAGAAAGATAGAGAAAGAGAGAGAGAGAAAGAGAGAGAAAGACAAAGAGAAAGAGAGAAAGAAAGAGAGAGAGAGAAAGAGAGAGAAAGATAGAGAAAGAGAGAGAGAAAGACAAAGAAAGAGAGAGAGAAAGAGAGAGAGAGAGAAAGAGAGAGAGAAAGAGAGAGAAAGAGAAAGAGAAAGAGAGAAAGAAAAAGAGAAAGAAAGAGAGAAAGAGAGAGAGAGAGAGAGAGAAAGATAAAGAGAAAGAGAGAAAAGAGAAGAGAGAAAGAGAAAGATAGAGAAAGAGAGAGAGAAAGAGAAAGAGAAAGAGAAAAGAGAAAGAGAGAAAGAGAGAAAGAGAGAGAGAGAGAGAGAAAGAGAGAGAAAGACAAAGAGAAAGAGAGAAAGAAAGAGAGAGAGAGAAAGAGAGAAAGAGAGAAAGAGAAAGAGAGAGAGAAAGAAGAAAGAGAGAGAAAGAGAGAGAGAGAAAGAGAGAGAAAGATAGAAAAGAGAGAAAGAGAAAGAAAGAAAGACAAAGAGAAGAGAGAAAGAAAAGAGAGAAAGAAAGAGAAAGATAGAGAAAGAGAGAGAGAAAGAGAGAGAAAGACAAAGAGAAAGAGAGAAAGAAAGAGAGAGAGAGAAAGAGAGAAAGATAGAGAAAGAGAGAGAGAGAATAGAGAGAAAAACCAGTGAGTGAAAGGAAGGAAAACACAAAGAGGAAAATGGGTGGCGGAGAGAATGTAAAAGAAACAAATACAGTGTTGTTGTTGTTGTTGTTGTTCTTATTATTATTATTATTATTATTATTCTGCTTATTCGCATTCTTCTTTTTATTATTATTATTATTATTATTATTATTATTCCCTGAACGGTTTCTTGTGTCGTGTCTGGAGCGTCTTAACCCGGCGGAGCCCATCCCTCTCCAGGTTCGCCCACAGCTGATGTCCTCCAATTAGGTGGCTTGCCTTGGTCGCGGACACGCGGCCTTTCTAATTCCATCATGATGAAACTTTCCATCCTGGCTGATGATCTGCGTCGAGGAGATCCTTCGCCCAGTGGTGCCATATTAACTCCCCCCCCCCACTCATGTGAGTTTAGCCCACCATCTGAAGTGGTTTGCCGTGGTCTGGTAACTTGGAGGCAGCACGTGATGGCGCCCACATATTAACTCCCAGAAATACCTCCCACATAATAGTAAGACATAAGCTAGATGACGACACCGTTACCCCTAATGTCTTACCATTATGTCGGAGGTATTCATGGGAGGTCAATGTGGGAGGTATTTCTGTCGCACCCTGTATGAGAGAGTAAATGCGAGCGAGAGAAAGAGAGAAGGAAAGTAAAAGAATAAAAAAAGACGGGGAGGGGGAGAGAGTAAAAGTGAGGAAAGTAAGAGATTAACATCGAGAGATATAGAGGGAAAGTAAACTTGTAAAACAGAGAGAGGGGAAAAAAGAGAGTAAAAGTGAGAGGAAAAGACTGGGAAAGAGAGAAAAAGTAAGCGAGTAAAAAGAGATGGTGAAAGAGTGAAGACAAGTTTAAAAATATCGCGACGTTGCTTAACTTCAGTAATCGTAGGCGACTGGTGTTTCGACGTGATATGGCCGTAAGCTGTATTTCTTTAAGGCTAGCAGGGGGATCCCTTCACCGAGTCTATCGGAATCTTTTCAAATCAATCAACTACAACTGGAATTATTGATGTCCTCATGTGACGCATTTTTGACATTTTTCCATTTCAAGATTCTTCTATTTTGATAGTTTTTTGAAGCTCATCAAAGATACATTACAATCAGCAGGAACATTTTTTCTTTGATCATTTATGCCTAAACGATTAGCTTTAATTGTCATGTAGGCGTGCATTGTCAAGTCCCATAAAATTATTATTATATTGATTTTTTTTTCTTTGATTTCTGGCGTTTACACATTTCTTTCCGGGTCCCGCCCAGGGACCTAAAATTAGAAATGGCATCATGACACTTTCCACTGACAAAAAAAAAATTACATAGATAAAGCCCATCGTAAAGTGTCGGCTGTACTTGTCAGAACAATTTTTTGTATCTCCTTGAGGCATGGACTTCCAAGAATCCCTTCAATTAGTCTACTGCAATCTTTTCCAACCAATCCTAGGGCTCCAACTACAACAGGGATTGTTGATGTTCCCATATGCCACATTTTTGAGATTTCTATTTCAAGGTCCTTGTATTTTGACAGCTTTTCGAATATCTTCAAAGATACATTGCAGTCAGCAGGGACTGCCATATCAATAAGGAGGCACTTTTTTTGTTTGTGGTCTTTAATAACAATATCTGGGCGGTTGGCTTTGATTGTTCTGTCAGTGTGTATTGTGTAGTCCCATAGAATTGTAACAGGTCCTATCTCCGTAACCGGGTCTGGGTGGTGTTCATACCAGTTTCTTTCAGTTTCCTTCTCGTAGAAGTTGCAGATTTTCCAGTGCAGATATTGGCCCACTCTGTCATGTCGGGTTTTATATTCAGTGGGTGCCAATATCGTGCAACCTGATACAAGATGATCAATCCATTATTATTATTATTATTATTATTATTTCCTTTGATTTTTGTTGTATACCATTTTCCTTCCGGGTTCTAACCAGAGATCTAATGTCAGAAATGGTTTCATGACATTTTCCACTGTTCGTTAGTGTAATAAAAAATAAATGACACATTTTTCATAGATAAAGCTCTTCGTAATGTGTGAGCTGCACTTGTCAGTACAGTTTTTTGTATTCTTTTTGTATTTTTCTTTTGTTTTTTTTTTGTATTTTCTTCTTCTTCTTCTTCTTCTTCTTCTTATTATTATTATTATTATTATTATTTGTGTATGTTATGTTTCCGGCTTTGTATCCTGTAGATCCAGGTTCTAACTATGGTCCTTAAGCCCGATAGGAGAATTGTCATTTAATTAATAGCTCTTAGTAGGGCGTATGTTGATGTTGCCTGGGATACTGTTAGTAAAATTGTCCATTCCTTTTCTCACAAGACCCAGAGCTTCGGTTCCTATTGTTACAGTCTCAGTCTTCATTCCCCACATCCTGTTCATCTTGGTCTCCAGGTTCTTGTATTTGGACAATTTCTCCATAATTTTCATGAAGGTGTTTCTCTCAGATGTTTAAGTGGTCATACCATCTCTCAGTAGTTTCGATTTTGTGCTTCTTGTCTATCTCCCTTTTATGTCTGCTATGTCTGTGGGTATATTCATTTTCCTATTTTCGGACATTCTGAGATAATATGTGTTGAGGGGTTCTCCCCTTTTTACACAAATGGACTCACCCAGTATATACATATACTACGGCTACGTGAAGACCCGAGAGAGCAAGACCAAAGAGTCGAGTCCAGAGTGACAGAGTAAAAGGTTGTAGGTAACCGGAAGAGTGAGGGGTGAGGTAACGGCGTTGTAGGAGTCACAGTGAGCGTGCACGTAGACTCAGTAAGAAGTCATACAGCGATACTTCAATACCAAAGACTGTATATATATATTGCTACTAACCCGTATTCCTGGAACTACTAACCTGCTTTACCAGTTTATATTATTACGTTAATACATTATTTTCATATATTCATTCCTGGCGTTTGTTATTTATTGGTACCGGATTTCAACCCGGAATCCACAACATATTTTCCGCAGATCCTGCATTTTGGGTTAGTTCCATCCTTGATATGCGACAGTGATAGGATCTGATTGGGGGGCGTTGGTCCTGAGCTGCAATAATTAGGCCTTCTGTCTCAGCTTTCAAACCGATGCTCCTCAGTCACTGATCTGTTTTCTGTTGGGCCACATCTGCTTTTTTCATTCTTTTTAAGTATTTGCCATGCAACGCCATGTCCTCCCAGTTTTTGGGGGTTTTTTTTCAATTTAATTTGGCCAAGTTGTTTTGCTTTCTGTCTTACTCGTTTGGCGTAGATGGTATTCGCTTCGGTTTTTGTTTGTAGAATTTCATAATATACAAGGTATATCAAGCAGTTTCTTGAAGAGTGCAGTTTCTTTTTGGTGGAGTGGATTTGGTGTTTCACGATTTGCAGGAGAAGGTTTTTGTGAGGTATGCTTCCAATCCGATTGCAGTGTTTTCAGTGGCGTAGCTAGGGGGGGCGGACCGCCCCGGGTGCCAGCACAGGAGGGGTGACACAATGTCACCCCCAACAAAATTTTTCAACCAGGCTAAGGTGCCAAAAATAGTCTGAAAACAGTGGTGGAGACACAGGGTTTCGCAGGCTGGCATATGACCCCCAAGAAATAATTTATGACCCCCCAGTTTTGTCCCCCCGTCAGAAATTTTCTAATAAATTGTCGGGAAATTTGTGAGTAGGAAAAATAGCAATGTTTTCAGCTTTCATGTGTTTCAGTTGCTACAATCTTGGTTACTAACAAGAGACATTGTTGTAACATTTTATCGGATGATATGGTGTTTTAACTCTGCATCATTAATAACAACAAAGCGAAATACGAAGCCAAAAGTGCAACAATTTCAGTCTTGCCTGTGTATCAATTCGCTGAGATACAATTTTCCATTGAGTGAGCGATATACTTTTGAATATATCTACTAGTGTTGGGACGATTAATCGGAATCGAGAATCGAGAATCGGAAAAATCGGAACATTTTGGGGTATCGGAAACGGAAAAATTTGTGCCTATATTCCGATTCCAAAAACGATTCTTTTAATTTTTTAACTTAATTTTCCATTATTGGTACTAATGATAAATATTTATTGTTTTTAAATTATCACGAAAACTAAAATCATAATAACATCAAAATACGATGTAAATTTATTTTTCTTGTATAAAGAAAAACAAAAAAAAAAAAAAAACTTTGCATAAATTCTCTAGGTAACCTTTAAAAGAATGCAGTTGATTTACAATGTTCCGAAAAATGCTTAAAAATTACATAGAACATTTTTGTCAAGAAAAATACTTTCAAACATCATTAATAATTAAATGGTACCCAGAAAATGATGCAACGGAAAATTGGACACCGGAAAATTAGCAACAGAAAATTACGTCAACCATGAGCCAGTCGAGACTGTCGGATCTGGCTGTGCTGTCCATTGAAAACGAGCTTACAAGACAAACAGATTTTGACGATGTTATTGACCAGTTTGCCACAATGAAAACAAGAAAACATTCATTCTAAGACCATAGTATCGAATGTCATTCTTTTGTGTATTGCCGTGTTTTGTATTTAGTTGTTCTGAAAGTGAACAGTTGCATTTTAAAAATCTTTTGATTTGAACTGATTATTTTGTGGTATTGGATTTTGTCTTAGATCATACATGTAAACAGTAACGTACCGGTCAGTAGAGTAAAGTAGAGGTAGAGCATGTATGAAAATTTAGCTACAGCTAACCATTCAGCATAGGGTGAATCGGGGTCATTGGGGTGACATTTGAGCGGACCGTCCCGGCTGACGTTTACTCTAGCTACGCTACTGTGGAGTTTTTAGACTTACGTTCTTTATCACCACTACACATTCTAATACTTTTTTTCTTCTTCGCCTCTCCGTCCTTCTTCTGCTTCTTTTTCTTCTTCTTCTTTTTTCTCCTCCACCCCTTTTTCATCTTCTCCTGCTACTACTACCAATTTTTATGTCTTCTCTGTCTTTTTCTTTTCCTTCTTCTTTCAATATTTTAGACTTTCTTCTTCTTTTCCTCCCGTTTTTTTTTTTACTGTTAATCCTTTTAATTTTTTACCCTTCTTCCCATAATTTCTTTCTTCTTCTTCTTCTTCTTGGAGACAAATTGTAGGATAAGGTCAGATATATGCATTCCATTTGTCCTAATTCTCAAGTTAAGTGATACTTTATATATACATTGTTTATATTTGATAATACGCCACAGGGTAGATGAACAGTTCCATAGAGTGCAATCTTTTTTAAATTTCCTGCCAGCAACGGTTACCAGATATCTTGTTAATGTTATTGTCTGTATATTTTTTTAATCGTGCTAGGAAATTCATTTATAATGGCTAAAACATTAGACACTTTTACTTTCTATCCTTATATTCAATTATTTCGCCAGATTCTTTAACAGATATATCTTTTATCTGATGGCGCTGCCAAATCCATGAGAAGGTATTTTATAGGCTTTTAAACGCAATATCTGATCTTTATTTACAATGATGTTCATACTGTACAAGGGCCAAGAGCCACTCGTGGTAGAGCGTTACAGAGTAAAAAGCTCCACACATAGCAAGAGCATAATACAACCAAGACACCAAGAAATGAAAGAGAAAGAAAAGACCTTATAGGGAAACGAAAACCCAACCGTAAACAGAAAACAAATGATAAACCTCTACTCCTATTCAAAAAATTTGGGGAGGTATGTGAACCATACTGTACAAGGGTCAAGAGCCACTCGAGGTAGAGTGTTACAGAGTAAAAAACACCACCCAAAGCACGGGCATAATGCCACCAAGACACAAGGAAATGAAAGAGAAAGAAAAGACCTTAGAGGAAAGCGAAAACCCAATCG